GCAAACTTCTGAAAATTTCTCCCCGACAGAAACCTGTAGGATCCCTTTCTAATCCTATTTGAGCCAGTCTAAACTCCTTACACGGGGATTGTATAAGGGATTACATAGGGAATATTATAGGGGTTATTAAGGGGGAGGCTACGAGTTTAGAGACTATATAGCCCATATACTTCCCAAGGTTCCACTGAAACACCCACACTTCGGAGGGAGAGGTGAGGAAAAAGCTGAGAGCTTCAGCTCCGCCTCCTGCTTTTGGCAGTGGCGAACGCCAAGTCGCACCCAATACGGGCCGACTCGGGGATCTAGGGTTGAAGGTCTACAGATCTGGGTCTAGGGTTTAGGTTTAGGATCTAGGGTTTAGGGTTCAGGGTTTGGGGTGGAAAGTACAAATCCTGCATGATCCTAAGTGCCGAATACATAGTCAGGTTATACAAAAATTTCAGGTTTTTTGTACGGTTGGGGAATCAGGATTGTAAGGTTAAGGCTTTTGGACATCTTCCGGAAGGCTTCAACTTGCAGATGAAACTTCCAAATCACAGCGCAAAAGCTGTGGGATGGCTGCGTCTCGTGTTTTGTAGGTTAACAGGGATGCCTGGGGCCCTTAGCGTATCCACGGATTGTAAGGAAATGTTCGTTGCCACGCAGTACAGAAAATACGTTGGAACCCTTCGACCTCAATCCCTGACAGCTCCAGAAGCCTAGCAAGTCCGTAGCCTGCGGTTTAGAGTTGAGTGTTGAGGCTTGGCGATGTGACGGTGAAACCAAGAAACAACTAAAGTTGAGCTTCAAGTCTAAATCCTTCTGACCCTCACACTAAGGATCTAAGGTTCTGCGGTGTTAGGGTGTGGGAGGCCCTAGAAGACAGTATAGGGATATAAAGGGATTGCAGAGGCAGCCCCTTGTTACGGTATCCTATGCAGCAGATTGTGAAAATCTCTCTTCTTGCAACTTAGCCTTCGATCATCTTAACCCCTGTACAACTGAAGGGGGGGCACTATCAAATGCACCGGCCATAAAATGTACAGGGAAAAAGATCATATGCCCAAAGCTTAGGCTTTACATAAACCGTGGATCCACCTTCACCGCAAGTTCAGTCAGGGTCAGCTATCGCTGCCTCAGCTCCGTAACGAAGATCAACTGCAATTCTCCGCTTGAGATTTAGGGCGTGGGTTCCCCCAGCAAAAACCCCAAAGTCTTAAGCCATAAACCCTAAATCCCTGGCAAATCCTGCACTCACGACCTGCAAGCCCTAAAACCATGAATTCTCGACCTTGCACGCTTTTCCCCAAGTCTTGTAGGAAACTGCAGGACCCCTCAGCATGTTCAACTATGTCGGACGCCAAAAGGCATCACAATTCCTCAAATTGCCTGCAAAGCCCTGGTCCATCCCGATTGTTCCAGCTACCCTACACGCTGAACCCTCAACCGCTGCATCCCTTTTGGGTCCTCGCTTCGCGCTCTAACCATCTCTAACCCAAGCTCCAAACAACCCAGAGCCCCAAGACGTTTGTACCCTAAGCCGTTGTGCGCATGGACAAACTCCCAAGGGCGTTCGCATAGCAACCTTGAATAGTACTAACAATAATATAATACCACGCTACTAGAATACCATAACGCTATAATATTATAATGCCATAATACCCTAATACTACAATAACTATTGAAAATTGATTATCAGAAAGGATGCCCCACCCATACGCTCAAAAATATTCCCCCCAAAAGAAAGCTTCGGGGCCTCTCGCCCTAGCACAAATGATAAAGCCTAAACCCGAAAGCGAAACCAGATTCTCTATGCGTGGCGTTTTTTAAAGTGATTAGCCAGAGAAAGCTTATTGCCATCGGCAGCAGTGATCCCAGATGTGAAGGCTCCCCAAGATTAGGGCTTGCTTGGGAGCTCCTGCTGTAAGGATATAATACATTGGGTCTCAAGATTAGGGCTTGCGTGGGAGCTCCTGCTGTAAGGATATAATACATTGGGTCTAGATTTGGGCGCCCCATTTACTGAAACCCCCGTACTTTGGTTTCCATACATAAAATGACCCCAAAATAAACCTCAAAATGTTATAGTCCTTATTACGAGGACTCCGAAAAAGGGGGATCCCGAATCTTCGGAAACCCCATATGAGTCAGAGTCAATATTGCCCAAGAAAAAAAAATGGACAAGGGTTCCTTACTAGCGAATATATCAGGAACTAAAGTAAACCTGCAAGACGGACCTTTTTGTCGGCCCGAAATGATCGCGTGGCAAAGCTAGTATTGACAGTAATCCGCCGATCCCGGCTTGGCGGGGCGCTCGCTAAATGATGTTCCCCTGGCCTGCTGCCCTCTCCTGAACCATCGGGCGCATCGATTTTTCCTTGACTTCCCCTTTTTCCCCTTCTCCTGAACCGACCCTCTCCAACCCCTCCCCGCTTCCCCGTTTTCACGGATCAATAATGACGATTTTCCCTGACCAACCCTCTTGCCACTTTCTGCCCCGCTCTCCACCCCTCCGGAGGGCCCCACCCCTGAAACCGCGGGGTTTACAACTCGGAAAGGCCATCAAAAAAGACTTTTTTAAGTATCAAAAAAACTGTCAGTTCCAGATCAAAAGTACGTTTTAGGCATCAAAAAAAAACCTTTTGGGTATCAAGAAAAACTGTATTGTCGCAAAACGCTGACCTTTCCTCGGTCTGGGATTGCTCCGGCCATCAAAAAAAAACTATTTTCCAATCAAAAAAATTTTGGTGGTGAACCTCTCAGATTTTGAGAAAGCGTCAACAGTCACAGGGATGGCGGAATTCGGGGTCGCAATTACCGCCCCGTACCTGTCGTCGCTTTTCGATCCTCGAATCCTCTTGGCGTTTCGAAAGTGTGAAAAGTCACACGGATCGTGGGAGTTAGGGTCACGATGCTCGCAAATGTCGTCGTTTTTACGCTCCTGGTGTCAACAGTCACAGGGATGGCGGGGGTCGGGGTCGCCGTCCGCGCAAGAATCAGCCTAGCATCGCAAGTCTTGCAGATGGCAAGGGAGCTGGTTCAAGGCAAGGAGCCCTGCAGGGCCATTCAGACAAGCCAGGTGCGGTCCGCACCCGTTCCAAACAACATACCGCAGTCCTAACACAAGAGCCGGGAAGTTTTGCCTGCAGGTACAATGTACTCCGTATCAGACTTCCTGCTTAGACATAGCGCACCAGGTTAGCAGTCCCTACCTTCCTGGACATGCTGAACAACGCAAGCCTCGAAGCGCAGGGGATGGCATCTGTTGTCAATCATGCTTCATGTCTATGTCCGTGGGCTTGACATTGAGCCGCAAAGTGGGCTGCGAAAATGCAATTCATCGCTTGCTTGTGGAATGTTTGAGTAACAGCAGGCCTCCGTGACTTCCGCTGGCAACCTGCACTATAGCTTCCACCCGCAGGCTTTTGTCTACGGTGCTGCAGGCTTACGCTCCGGCAACCGCTCCTTGAAACAAGCTGGCGCGCAGAAGCTAAGGCCAGTTGTGGCACTCCCAGCTGGAACATGCCAGCGCTTGGGCTTCTGTGCACACACCCTTGGAGGCTCACAACCCAAGATTCTCGCTGGCGAGGGGAGGTTCTCGCCTGACAGCTAGGATAGATTTCTAAGGGAGCCAACATTCTTACACTTGGCCGTTGCATTGGAACAGCACAGCTCACAAAATGGAGTGCCTCGCGCTGCTCATCCGATTGGGATGCATCCTGCTCCTGCTGCACTTATACTGCCAACTCTACTTGCGTGCACTGTTTCGGAGAATCAACATAGCAGTAACACTGGCCTCATCGTCCGAGGTCACCTGATGTAGCCGTTCTTGTTTGGAAGCTTATTCCTACCACGAACTGATCTGCAATCCGCAGCAACGTGCCTCGTTCTCCGAGTCGGCGGAGTCCTGCCCATGCCGCATGCAATATTTTTCACAAGGGCGTCATGATGGACTGCGACCAAAGCTTTCACCCCTTCCCCGTTGTCCTCCTCGCTGGTAGCCTTGGGCTACTGTGCTCGCAAAAAAAAGATGCTCCAAAAGTGCATAGCCGGGGATGTCACCTGTGAGGCAATCAGGGGCAGCTCCTCGCCTTCCGACGGAGCCTGCCGTGTTCAATGCCAAATCTGAAGAAGCAATAAGTTCGCAGAGTAAGCTGCTGGCAAGCTCATCTGGCTTGGCATCCTTAGAAAAAGAGACTGACAGCTAGCAGGATATGGACATAAACATGAATTGAGGCGAAATATTACCCGGGGCCCAGACGTTCTGAGACTCTCGCTGCACACGAAGCAGGACAGCCGCAGGAAGAGTCGGAAAGATGGCACGCAGGGTGGCAATGTCCAAGCGAGCAATGTCCGCTGGCATCATCTGCCCACGCGCCAGGAGTGGGGCATAGGAGAGCGCGTTTGCAGCCTTCAGGATAGGACGCAGCGCCTTCCTAAACTGCAGGTCCTGGCCGCCTGACGGGCGTGGAGGACGGCTGGGTTTTGTTTGGCAGGCGGCCTTGCGGGGAGCAGCTTCGGCAGCCCCGCACGCGGGCAGAATTAAATCCACGTGCGGCATGTCAGAAGTAGGCGCGGCTGCACCCCCTGATCTGCTGGGCATTTTCGCTTGGGTCAAGGAAACAATGTTTGCATCAAGGAGAGCGACGCGCACGTGTTCGCAGGTGCCATGCGTGCAGAACTCATTGCGCAAATGGCACAACACGTCCATGTACGTCTGATCCGCTGCATCCTGCGTGCTAGCACGACGCCAACGTGCTCGCGCCTGTGGACCAAGGGCAACAAGGACATTGGACGCAAGGACACGAAGCACAGCCTGTATGTCGTTCTCTGCGCCGCAAAGCTCTCTGAGCGCCTTGTCAAGCTCGGACTGCTCGCGAGCGGCAAGGATTTTGGAGAATGCCGCTGAATGTTGGCAGGGCTCTTTCTTGATGGAGTCATCAGGCGCGCGAGACCATGCTGCAGACCGTGGATCGATCATAAGTGGCAAGTGCGCGAGGCATGCACCAAAACTGTGTTTCCGCGTCGCTGTGCGTTGCGAAAGCCTTGCAGGTGTAAAATTGAGCAGCATCCGTGCGCCCGTCGCGCGTCAGCGCCTGCGAGCTTTCTAGAACCCACTTGTCGGGGAAGGGCTCTGCGGGGACATCGGGCAAGGTTCCGTCCTTTAGACGAAGCTGGCTCAGTGTGTATGACGCGAACGCCTGCAGCTGCCTGGTCAGCACTGGGATGCTTGCGCGCAGGTTGCCCAAATATTTCTTGAGTTTGCGGCGGCGCCAAGACTCCTGCGCTTGAGTTCCGCTGGCGGAACCTGGTTGAAGGCGCTCAGGACCAGCCCACCAGGTAGCTTCCCAGATGTAGCCGGCGTGACCTGACCAGGACTTAAGTCCATACAATCGCCGAGCATCCTGGGCTGGCACATTGTTGAAGTAGAACCGCTGGAGTCGGTCCACGACCTTGTCTTCTCTGGGCTCCTGCGCTAGCAGGGTGCTGAAAAGCAATGTTGCCACGCTATGGAAAAGTAGTGCCGTTGGTAGTGATCGTAGTAAGTGTATAACGTTTTGGATTAACGGCACTAGTTTCTTGTTGTATAAGTGCTTTTTGGCAACGGAGAAGAGGCCGCCCCGGCAGGCAGCCGTCTTCTCGTCCTTGGGCTGGCGCGGAGCCTTCCGTCGCGCGCCGCGCTTGCAGGCGCCTATATGACATGAGCAAAATCTGCGACGCGCAATGCATTAGGGAAGATGGACTCGCGGGCAAAATCCTCGCCGGGGTGCAAGTCGGCGTGGTACTGCCGGGCAGCCGTTGACAAATCAATGTCACACCACTCTTTGGCACAGCGCACGCTGCTTGGAACAAGCACTCGTAGGTCTCTTGTCGCTCTGTGTTTGCCACTGCGAAAATCAAGGGTGTGAAAGTGGTGCGGAACGCATACGAGGTTCCGTCTCGACTATAATGCTTCGTCAAGACACCGAGAGTAAGCAAGGACCAGCCGTCATCCACGAGGCGGTAGGTGCCATCCCCACACAGCTTGACGTAGCCCTTGTTAGCAAGACGGCTTATCACTTCAGAGAACAACGCGGGATTGACAAAGACCATGACAGTGGACTCCGGCCTGTAATCTGTGGCTGCAACTTTGAGGACATCTGGAAGCGCCCCGTCAGCATCGGCCGACACATCATCTGCATCCCCGAGATCACGACGCAGCTGCTGCCAGTCAGAGCGGTTCCAACCAAACTTACTCTTGCTGCGGCTGCGTTGGCCCTCGTGCTGTGGCCGGTGATTCTGAACCCAGGTCTGCAAGAAAGTGTCAGGAATAAGTTCGGCCTGAGAGGTTTTAGCAAGCTTGGCCAGGTCGAGATAATTCGCATGTGGATCGGCCTTGAGGCGCTCCCCTAACGCTGCCTCTGTTGCGCTGGTGAGAGGCGTCCAGCCTTTCATTGCCGCAAAATCACCACGCTTGGCAATTGGAGTGAACTGACGGTCCACTTGCTGGGTCTGCACGTTGTAAGTAACGTAGCCTTTCCAATGCAAGAGTTGCACCAGAGCAGGACCTTGTACCCGGCAGAATAATCATACCACTGGTGTCTCACGTTCAAGGTTTTGCCAGGCACGGTCCTGCATGCCCACGCTTTCTGCGGGTTCTCTTCCGGTTTCCGCGGCCTGCCGCCGGTCTTCGCCGGGCATTCAGCCTCCGCCTCCCTGTCAGGCTGTTGCGCTTGGCGGGGCTTCTTTTTGGGCTGCGCCTTTGCTGGCCCTGCTGCTGCGGCAAGCTTGCCACCGCCGCGCATGGACGGTATTGCGACACGAGCAGGGCAGGCAAGCCCCTCACTGTCGCTGCTGGTAGTTGTTGCCAGCGAACCCTGCGCACTCTCGCGGGTTGCAGATGCTGGTTGCCAGAAAGCCAGAGACACACCCAGCCGTTGCAATGTGGCCTGAACCTCGGCTGTGAGTGGGTGGCGGTGAAACTCGACCTCCGTACCTGAGCCCCCAGGGCGCTTCTCCCTTCCTTGAGCTTGCCAAGACCTAAACTTTCCAACTCTTTCAGGGTTGAGACACGCGACTCAAATGCCGCAGCACCCCGCAAAATGCTTGTTCATGTGAGATGGCTGAATGGGATCGGACAGGCACGTTTCCAGGACGCGTGTGGACAAAAGGCTTTGAACTGGGAGCTGACCGCTGGCAGGCGGGAGGCTGCTGTCTGGACACCGCGCAGTCAACAACTGCGCAGGATTGAAAGACTCGAAGGTCATAGTGACGAGTCGCTGACACGGCTACTCTGCACGTCTTCACCTAGAGCAGAAGCAGCAAGTGCTGCGAGTAGCGCAGCACTGGGAATATGGTACTCCATTTTACCCAACGCGGCTTTGCACGCGCTGCCCCAGCCTGCCTTCTCTTCTTCCTCACGCAGGTCGTAGTAGAAAGCACGGGTGGCACGCTGAGCAGCTGTGGAGATGCACATGAGCGGCAGCACGGCAGCACTTTGCGGGCCATAACAGAGTCGGCAGTATAAGCCCACACTGTCTGAAACAAGGCCTGCACTGGCCCTGGATCCTGCAGACCAATCTCTCGATCAATGATGGCACGGCATGTTGGGGACATAAGAATCCGGGCACTGAAGCCACACTTGTGCGTAGCTCCAACTGGGCACCACCAACTCTCGAAAAGGGAAAACTGCTGGCACAGGCACCAAATTAATGTTGGTGGGGTTGGACCAGAGCTTTCTCCTGAGGTTGCAGAGGCTTGTCCGGCTGTGCGCGCTGCGCCTGCTGCCGTTTCTCCTCTTCACCAGTACCCCACTCGAAGCGGCCTCCGTGAGGTCAAGAAATTTACCTGTGTCTACAGTCTTCTTGGTTGGGAAAGCCGGTCCAGAATAGGCTTAGACTCTGGTCCCTGCAGAAGCACCGTTCCATCCAGGGCACCAGGCGGTTCTGAATTCTATTGTTGTTCCCCACCCCAATCCAATGCTGCTGGGTATATAGGCCCTGTGGCCTGCCTCGCACAAAATCTTCGAAGGCGCCCATGACGAAGGAGCAGGTTGGGGACTTGCCTGCGTTGGGATCCCCTGTAGGACATGCCCACCACCGAGCCTTTGTGGTGTGTTTGTGGGATTCGTCAGCCCAGAGCGCGATAGACAAGGATGTGTGGCAGGACGCTAGGCATGCCTGGAACATGTCAAACGCAAACACTGCGGGGAAGCCGCATCCCAGACGCAGGTACTCGCAGGCAACAGCCAATGGTAAGGGCGTTGTGTACCCGAGGACACGAGGCAATCCGGACGCTTGCTCGATGGTGATATCCAAGCCTCTTTGAGAACGCAGGCTGGCCAAGGCATGCTGGTAGACTTCCTGCAGGGTGCGCTCGCGGATGTACTGGCTATAGAGAGGCACGCGGCGCCAGATGGTCACGCGAACATCAGCAGGCGCATGCTTCGAAGCAGCTAAAGCGCAAAACCAACAGGGCACTTCAGCAGCAGGGTCCTTGAGGAAGCAAGGCGCGCCTAGCGGGCGAGGGACTGCACGGCAGGAACAGGCGGCAAAGGAGCCTTCCTTGCTTGCTTGCTTCCTTCCTTCCTTCCTTTCTTGCCCCTGGTCTCTAGGTCCACACCTGCACAGAAAGTTTTTTTTGATCCGGCAAAGTTTTGTTTTTTGATGCTGCTCCTTTTCTTCTTTTCTCTCCACACTCTGGCATTTTCTGCTCGTTATGCAGTAGGAAAGTTTTTTGATACGAAAAAAATTTTGTGATGCCCAAAAAGTTTTTTTTGATCGGTAAAAATGTTTTTTTGATGCGCATGCCTACAGCTGGACTGCCAGTTTTGTTGGCGCTGGATCCACATAGGATTACAGCTGTCTCTTTTAAATGGTCACAAAAAGATTCTTGAGTTCCATGATGCACCAGCTGCAGCTGGCCACATGAAAGCCGAGCGCTTCATGACTCCGACTGCTGTCGCGCGGAGCAGGCAAAAAGCCCTAAATCCTTAACCCTCAACTGCAATCCCTCACTGAACCCGGGTTCTCCAAAGAGATATGCCTAGGGCCCCGTAGCGCCATCCAACTCTAAGAAGCTCGATGGTTGACCCTAGGCCCCAAACTCTAGGGCGTCGGTGTATTCAGCACCGTCACGGAGTTCATCTTCCGCCTCACGCCTAAACGCTCTGGTCAGAATTCTCATCCTATGAGCAAATTCTCGCCCCACCTCAGTCCACACCTCGGTCAGTATCAAAAACAAAAAATTGGAACTTAGCGCTTCACGGTTCTCTCGTAAAATCAGGAATTCAGGGAGCTAGGGTGAAGGCTGTAGGGATTAGTTGTTTGCGGGTAGGGGTTACAGCTGTCCCTCGGAGTACCACAGCCACAAGAAAAAATCATCTTACTCCACATTTAAAAGCCTTAATCCTCCCATTCATTGACAGTACTACTCAGCTCAGCGACAGGGTCTTGGCCATTGTGTTTACTTTGTTGAGCATTGCATTGGGCTAGTCTCCCCAAAACTGATATCTAAGGTCCAAAGTATGGACCCCTAGTACGGGCCCCAAGTCCTTTGGTCCTACTTACCTATTATATAAATTATATACTCTGTAAGACTCTATAGGGCCAACTAAAATCCCGTGGTTCAGACCCAGGAAACATGTAGGGCTCCAGATTGCAGGCCCATGGTCCTACATAAACCATGAACCCTCCAATTCTTGGCCATGCGCGAGCCACCCCAGCTGCTTCAGGGTTTACAAGTTGTTGTTGTTGTTGTTGTTACGCAGATTACCTGCTTTGCCAAGAAGGAAGCTTCTAAAAACGGGGAAGGTTTTTGGCGGATTTAGGGCTATAATTACGAGGAATAAAAGGTAATGGGGCCCTCAGCAAGGAAGTTAAAGGGATAATCTTTAACAAATCCGAAATGCCTACAAACTTCGGTGAAAGCCATGCTGCTGCTTCCCGCAGACTCGGCGTCTCTTCGCAGATGCCATTGCCGAAGAAAAGTTGCGACATCAGCAAGTGCATTCACCGACGGGGAATTAGGGTCGTAGGAGTGATGTAGTAGGGTTTAGGGTTGAATCTAGGAATTATATAGGGGGTCTACGCTGCTTCCCACGGACTCGGCGTCTCTTCGCAGATGCCATTGCCGAAGAAAAGTTGCGACAGCAGCAAATGCATTCACCGACGGGGAATTAGGG